GGGGTATGGGGTATGGGGTCTACCAAGTGATTAAGAAAGTAATTAGTGAGAAAAGACATATTTGGCTTTAAAACTTATGGTTGGTTTACGGTAAGGTCTAATACTGTAAAAATGGTTTACACTAGCTATCAATATATTGACTTCATTTTATTGACAAATCTAATCAGACAAAATCAAATTTATTTTTAACTCTGATTATTCTAATTTCATTCTTTACGAACGTTTTCACATGTAATTATCTTTAAGTGATCTGATAGTGTGAAAATTCTTTTACATTATGTATTTATAATATATAAAATTAGAATTAAGTTAACCTCTTTAAGTTAACAACTCAAGGATAGAATGTCCCTACCACAAGTTCTTTCACTAAAATGTGGTCCTCATGATACTTGCCTTACTGCTTCTAACAGTAATCTTTTATGTACTATTAATATTGATGTTTAATAATGTAATTAAGTAGGTAATTAGAAAGGGAACATAAATTAGTCAATTTCATCATATCTCTATCAATTTTAAAATCTTTTCCAAGACCTTTATTTAGCCATCATTGGAAGTTTAATCTCCTTTGGGCCTATTCCTCTTTTTCTGGACCCCCTAATATTCCCTTCATCTCAAGCCTTCTCTTAATTAATTTTTATACTATAGTTTAATTTAAAAATTAATTAACAGAATAATAATATATAGGGTCACATCTACTTCTTCCACTTCTACAAGGTACAATGGTCTACATACGATCATAACAAAAAAAAAAATTACAACAAGCTAGCTCCTTAATTTGACCTTGTTTGAATACATATAAGTATTGTAATATACACTTTATAAATGTCGTAATATACATTTATTGATTGTATCTTCACACACACATCCATACTCTCATTTGTATCCATGAGATTCTCATATTCCTACAATTTAAGTAATTTTTGGAGTCTATTCGAATATTATGAGTGAATCGATAAGTTAATCTATATTGAATTCCACCGGAATTGACTCATCTATTTTCAGGGAAGGAGTTTGATTTCAAATCCCGGTTCGAACAGTCTTGAATAATCCAAATATCGAATTAATGAGCACATTAAACTATTCATGTGGTTAAGAGACCTTATAGTCCAAACATAACAATTATGTCCTATTTTGCAAGAAAATCTCCCACAGGATCCTGCCATTGCCACGTGGAGGAACATGAGGACGTAAAGAAAGTGGTTCGATCAAGTTATTTCGACCTAACATAATAAGCTCATGAGCGACATAGCTGGTTACCATTATTTCCTATTACAAGGAAAAAAGGGGAAATTTAGGTGGACATGGAGATTAATTATTACTATCAAGACTTTTGATAAACAAAATTTCCAATTTAAGTCTTTTCTTTCACCAAAAGAAAGCAATTATTATGTACTTCATCTAAAGAGAGCAAAGAAAAATTGAAGCAAACCTATGGATTTTGTCTTCAAGGAAAAATACAACTCACTTTTGGAGAAAGAAAGAGGAAATGATAACAATGGTTGTTGAGCTTTGAATTGATGGTTTTATTTTATTAAAATAAATACTGAATGGACAATTCATTGATTCTCATGCTAACATTATTCTTCTTCAACAATCATTATATTGCCCACCAAGAAACAAATCAAGAATTTGGTAGTGTTATTGTATTGATTACAACAACATCAACATATTCAGTATAATGTTATAAGTGAGGTCTAAATTCTACATTCAGTATAATGTTACAAGTGAGGTCTGAATTCTGCATTGACTTTGGCTTCGCATGAACCTAACCAACTTAAAAGGGCACAGCCAAATTCAAGACGAGCACGACATCATAAAACTTAAACATTAGGAGTGTTTTGGTACAAAGAAAAACATTTTTCATGAGATGTTTTTTTGTTTTTTCATATATGATTAGTCAAAAAAATTATATGAAGTGTCTTTTCTAATTTGGCTCGAAATTGCACTCGATAGTTCTACGATAATTTTATGTCATTTCAAATTTGAAAGACATTTTTCTACTAACTACTCCACTTCCACCTTAATTTTATTACTTTAAAAATACTTCTAACAATCTATTATCTGAAATAGGGCTTACACTTCACAAGTCGCTACTAATAGTTACATGATCACTCAACTAATAAAGTCACTTTTCTTGTCGAATCCAATTTTCCTCAACAAAGAAGAGCGATTTTCTAAAATAATAAGTGACCATCTGAGAAATCAACTACGAAAAAGGTATTCAGCTACTGCTTACAACACCTTCATTCACTCGTCTTGCTACTTCATTACTATTAAGCAAACACTTGGAAGTCGAAAGGAACGACCGGGGGGGGGGGGGGGGCTCAATATAACAATA